TTATAATTATAATGAAACAATTCTTCCCCTTCTCGATCGAATGTTCAATCTCGAAGAATTGGGTTTGTATCTGGCGGTGAATGTTAATGGAACATTTATTGATGGAAATCATTTGAAGAGAAATATTATTGATTATATGCCACGATTAAATCAATTTTCATTTTATCTTCGTTCAGTCATGCATATTCGGAATCAAGTGAATTTACCATCAACAGAAGATATTAAACGCACATTTATTGACTTTTCAGATCATGAAATCATTTCTTATGTTGATTATTTTCGCGAGGCAGAACAAGGTCGATGTCATATTTATTCATATCCATCTTTTATGCCATATTATGGTGGTATTTCAAATAATTTTCCAGGAGGATTATTCAAATATGTTCGTGCAGTATCATTGTATGATGAACAGCCTTTTGATCATGAATTTTTTCTTCGAATTGTTCAATCATTTCCATTGATGGAAAAACTGGCTTTAACTAATAAGAAACCACAAAATTGGAAGCAATCTTATTCATCGAACAATAATAATGAAAATTTATCTGTTATTGAATATTCTTGTCTTAATGAACTTGTTATTATCGATGTTCATGATGATTATATTGAAGAATTTCTGATTGATACTAAAACGTATTTGCCAAAGAATGTCTTTCTTTCTATCAAGTATGAATCATTGAAACGTGTAACACATAATTTTGCAAGAGATGCTACACGAATTAATTGTGCGAAAATAAATGAATTGGAATTATTTCCTGAAACACGATATTCGACTTCTTTACAAGAATATTTTCCTTATGCAAAAATATACTAGTCAAACATATTTGAAAGAACACGACAATAAAGTAAAAAAAATCTTTATAGAGATACAAATAATTATGTGTGATAAGTAACAATATGTGAAATAACTTAGTTTTGTTTGAATAAATACGTATGTGTATAATGTATTTGGTTAGAAGATAAGTTCTACAAGTTTTCTTTTGTTTAACACTAAATCTATTTTATGAGTAAGATATGTAACATCAGTCAAGAATATGATCGCCATTATTTTTGAGAATGTTCGTTCATTTTGCTGGCAATTGTTCGATCTCATGTTTTGTAGAAACTAGCTGGTTGTGATTCGAAAAACGGATAGGGAAGTTGAAAGTGAGTTCATCGAAGTCTTCCTTGTGTTTCTCGCACATATTATTTAGAGGAAAGATCGAAACAATGATAATTCGATAGTGTAACGACTTGATGAGCATGGTGCAAAAACTTGTCATATGAACCGTTTAATTTTTTGCTGAATCAATCTTGCAACGTGTAGGTTTCCATTGTCATGAGAGACGATGATGACTTTTCGATTAGACAAAACCAGTCGCTCTTAAATCAGAGCTTCATGCAAACGTTGCAATTGTTGAGAATAGAAATAGGCGGTATCGTCTGATTAGTATCTAAAACCTCAAAATAGATGACACCATGCATATTCTACCAGATGCACAGCATTGTTTTGTTTAGATGAAATTCTACTTTTGCCTTCGATAATGGGTTTTCATTATGTACAAACTCGTAGCTTTTACAGCGGACATCCACGTGACAGACTCCTTTCTCATCTCCAATGGCAATTTCTTCCAAACATGTTTCATGATTCGGTCAGGTCAACAGCGAAACACGAGTCGATACCCGCTAAGCGAACTTGCCTAAGAATAATTGGCATGGAAGCCAATTTCTGTACTTCTTTATTTTGCTATGAGAGCGTGAAGATGAGTATTTACTGTCATCTGGAAACAGTTGAGTTGTACAGTCAAAGCACGTGTTGTTCGACGAAGATCGATAGGAAGCAAAGCTTTCAACGCTTCGTCATTAAAGTTCACAGATAGCTTTGAACGGGGTTTACTCGTCAATGTGGTATCTCTGAAAGAGAATTTTGCAAGCTAACAACAACATGTGGAGCTGTCGACGAGCTATCGCCGTATGCGGGTGTGGGTGGGTGTGGGTGTGGAGTGTGGGTGGGCGTGATTGTGGGTGTGATTGTGTGGGTGGTGTGGGTGTGCGGTGTGGATGTGGGTGTGGGTGTGGGTGGATGTGGGTGTGTGTGGGTGTGTGGGTATGGGTGTGGGTGTGTGGGTATGAGTGTGGGTGGGTGCGGGTGTGGGTGTGGGTGTGGGCGTGGGTGTGGATGGGGTGTGGATAGGGTGTGGATGTGGGTGTGAGTGTGGGTATAGTCTTCCAACATCCACACCTAGATCCCACATCCACATCCTACCCACACCCCACACCTACACATCCACACCCACATCCTACCCACACCCACACCCCACACGCACACACCCACACCCTACCCACACCCACATCCTACCCACACCCCACACGCACACACCCACATCCACCCCACTCTTATTGTGTTTGTGGGTAAAAACCCATTACTCTGATGAGAAGAACTATTTTTTTCTTTTTCATGGACATTTTTTCTTCGATAAACATTCGAAATGAAAATAAAATGGTGGAATGAGTCGTGGTTTTGTTTTGCGCAGCACATCGCTGGCCTTGAAGGTTTGGTTACATGCAGCATTGGAAGTAGTGATTTGCGCATGTTGTTCGTCTATGTTTCTCTTTTATGAATAGAAAAATACTTGAATAGGATGAAAGAATAAACACTAGAAGAGAGCAATATTGTATAAAAGGTGTAAAACGAAGCATCAAATTGTCACATTTTGCCTGTTCCATTTTTGTAGCAGTCAACTGAGCTGAGCAAAGTAAGACTTCCATTGTATGAATCTTATGCTTTTTTTCGATTGTATTTGGTTTCTGGGTACTGGTTGTCTTTCTCTTTGTGTCATTTGGAATTCTATCCAAGTTGTCCAAGGATGGGCTTTACGACGACCCAATACGGTCCTAAACGGCCGTATACGATACCCTATACTACCGTTTCTCACCGTTTACGGCCGTAAATCATCGTAAGTTGCCATTTTACCATGCATCATATTAGGATCGTATTTCGACGTACCATAAACGTCTAATCACGATCGTCATACGGTCGAAAAACTCAGTATCCGATCGTTTCTCAAAGTGTCACAATACGGTGCATGGTAAACGGCGAAAAAATCAACGGAAACGGTCATTTTACGACCCGACTTATTTCACTTGAGTCGCTTGATTGATTTTGACAATACCGTGAGAGAAAAGTTGCCTAGCATCTATTTATTTATCGGTGTATCTTTGAGTACATGCATAGGGTTAACAGATAACAAATGCATACAATGAGTTATACGGATTATCTTTCGGCTGTTTTTTTCAAATGCATTTCATAATTTCAGCGTCTTTAAGTCCACTGTTATCATTTTTCAATGAGAATTCTATTGTATGGATATAGTTTGTTAATTTGTTCTGCCGTATGCCGCGAAAGACAAGAATGAAGCTTAAAATAATTGTATTGTGATATTCTTTGCTCAGATAAAAACTAAGAAGGGTAAAGATAGTATTATCCTAGATATCGCTTCGCTTCTCTGTCTAACGAGCAGAATGGAACACTTCGAACATAACAGACCAATATATAACCGAAAATGCGCTATGTTTTGGTGTTCACCAAAGACTAACAGTTATTTCAATGGATTACCTAGAGATCATAAGGGAGGATTCCGAAACTTCGCCAATAAGACTTTCGCCAATTATTGGAGAAAACCCAGAGGTGTATTGGCTAAAATGCAGTGTACTTTCGTTAATTGATGAATTCCCAAGGGATATATTGGCGATAGCCCACTGAACTTTCGCCAATTAGCGAATATTCAGGAGAACGAATTGGGGACGAGTGTGGGTGTGGATGAGTCTGGATGTTTAACTCTTTCGCAAAAGCTTTCGTATCCACACTCACACTAACACGCATCCTCCCATCCACACCCACATCCCCACTTACAGGAGGAACACATGCTCACTACACCTATATTCAAATCCTGTTCTGATGAGTTTATTGTTTTCAAAGTATCGTCTGTTGAGACAGAACTTTATTGTTACCTACTTAAATAAACGTAAAGCGTCTTATAAAAATAAGATAAGTATAAAATTTGTGAATAACTGACTCAATAAATACCTACCAAAAAAGAAAAACTAATTATTGATAAAGCATAAGTATAATATATAGCTTCGATTCGTACTATCAAAGGCTGTTCAAATAATTATATTTATTGTCTGTTTAACTGAAAGCTTTGATGAAGTATTTCGATGAGTAAAACATATTCGTTGTCCTCTAAACTAACGAAGTAGTAGGCTATCTTTTAGAATATTTCATTTTTTCTCACGAAAAATAAATTAATTAAAAATTTTGTCATCATCATCGTTTGAAACGATGTTGGAAATGAATTTCGTATGGTTTTACGAGTTTAAAAACGAGTATTGAAAGTACTCTATTAACATTTTCAGCTAAAAACATTTAAATCTAGGCATACTATGATAGAAATAAACGAATAAAAGTTATCAATTTTCGAGAAAGGTATTCATTATGTTTCACTCATTTTTTTTTCTTAACGAGTGATAGGGGGTTTATATTTTTCGGGATATACAATGATATGTCTCTGTTTTATTTTATTCTTGATGTGTCGTATATATTAGTTTCTATTCCTTGATTTGTTATTTATTGATCATTATCCAATTAATGAAGCATAACATGTTACTTCTATTTGTATTCGATTTCATCTGGATTTGTGATATACATACATAATATCTTGTGTTGCTTTTGCTCGTCACAATTATAAGTATTTATTATAAATAAGAAAAATATTTCGTTGTGTCCGTGTTTTAACTAATGAGAGTCACTGAAGATTGGTCAACTTACTAAATAGCATGTACACTATTTAATTATAATTATTTTAGATCTCAATTTTCATTCGATATTATTAAACAAATAAATGGATATAAAAAAACCTCGAAAGGAACGAAAACCAACAGATTTGACTGACAAAGGTTTGTTGATTTGACGATATGTTATACAATCTACTAAATATATATATATTTGTTATACAGAATTAAACATGATTCGAAATTCGTCACATTTAAGTGCTAAAGGTAATCGATATACTGTTTGATATATTTTTTCCTTGATATTTTTCTTCTGATTCTAAATAGAAATTCAATTATGGCATTCTGTATGTTGAATATATATGATTTTAAACAATAAAATGTATATTAATTCTTTTTTTTACAGGACTTTGTTAGTAAACATCCAACAGGGAAATTGGATAAAGATACATTTATGGCAACATTTAAACAACTTTTTCCTGAAAGTTCTAAAAACTTAACACCCAAGTATATTTATACAATGTTTTAATATAATTTATTTCATTTTATTTTTCCTTCAAATATAGTTTATTTGATACGATTGATAAAAATCATGATGGTACTATTGATTTTAATGAATTTCTTGTTCTTGCTACTATTGGTAATAACACTGGAAATTTAGACGAACGACTTGATATAATCTTCGATTTGTAAGTAATATATGGGCTTATTTTACAATATGTTTGTTTTTAAATAATTTTCTTCAGATGGGATGTTTCTAATGATGGACTTTTAGATGTAAATGAATTAGCTCATCTTATTTCGGCTATTGTATGATTGCTTTTTTTTTCATGAAATTTAAAATGCTATTTGATATTTTAGTATGATCGTACTGGTGTAAAAGATCGTCAAGGTGATAAAAATCCAACACATCGAGCCAAAGAAATAATAAAAAAACTTGATGCAAGTGGTGATAAGAAATTAAATAAACAAGAATTTATCAATGGGTATTTTGTTTTAAATCTTATTCCTTTTTATATATATTTATTTTGTTAGATTGAAACATGATGAAACTATTAAAAAACTGCTCGTTCCTGATTCTTAAATTATTGCATCGTTTATAAATAAACTCCAATATCATTTATTCATGTTACTCCAATTTTTTTTTCTTAATTTTTCGAATAAAATAAGATTATATTCACTTGAATAGGTTCAATAAGTGAACTCGTGTGATATTTTACAATGAATATTGCTAACTAAGTCCTGTTAGATGTTTTTTTTCTTTTTTAGCAATCCTGTATTTGATTCGAAATCTCATAATAGCAACTATCATTGTCATACTAGTAGTATTTAAAAGATCGATTGCACATAAAATCATAAACTAGTCAATTATTGATTTCAAAATGAAAACTACTCAGACATAAGTAAAACGTTGTAACGAGTAGTTTAATGACGTTTTCAAATCAAATCTTAATAATCAGAATCATTATGCATCTCACATAAAAAATTTTAATTGAAATAATTTTTTTATTTATTTACTAAAATAAATTCACTACTTTAATTCATGTTTTTCGATATTGTATGTAGATTGTTAAAAACGTTGCAACTATTTCAGAAATTTTTCAGTCGTATGTTTGCCATGTCATCAATATACTAATGTATCTACTGTTTAGAGTGTGAATACGACTAACTGCGTTTGATAGATGCGCTCACATTTTCATCTATACTTCGAAAATTTTTGAGAATTTTATTACATAAGATTTTCTTTTTATATTTATCGTACAGATGCATTAGGGAAATTTCAAAATGAATTTTGTCTATTGAATATGAAACTAATCATATGAATCTATTTTGAAGTCTCATTCTTTATGATTGAATGAATTGAAAAATTAATGATTTAATTATAATCGGGTATTCACAATATTCATGTTAAATGCATAAGAAGTAAAATAATTTGTTTTTATTGAAAGAGTGATGTGAGAGTACTATCAATATAGAACATTTTGGGTGTGAGTGTGAATGCTATATCGAGATACATCATTACGCACGGATAGCCACAACCCCTATACTGAATTCGCGTTCTTCATATCTGTAAATTAGTTTTAGATACTTCATATTTTTAAGGCCATTGTCAATTATGGAATCAACACATTCAAAAATTCAATGCTCATCTAAATTGTGAATTTAACATTTCTTGAGCTCATAATCAGTTCAAAGCAATTAATATTACGTATCGGTAAAAATCAATTCATCGAAATTTGTTCTACAGTAATACAAGAAAAGACTCTCATCTTCTAGGTTTTAACGAACTCTAAGGAACTTTTGTTCTATGTAAGACTTGTATTTAGCGTGTGGCTAAGACCAATAGAAAGTCATACGAGTCAATAAGAAGAAATTTGTTTTTCTATTTATTATTATCTTGTTGAGAGAAAAGAAAATTGAATATAGTCAAATTTTTGATAATCTTTGAATAATGATAATTAATTCACGGAAATTTGCAGAAAGTATGCTTTTCAATAGCAAAGAAAATCATGATTTCCACATGAGTTTTCCCGGTATCAGTTATTTTCTTTGACTCTCATGTTGTCAAATGAAAACATGTCAATTACTTTAGGTGTGGTTGTGAGTGGTAGGTGTGCACCAAATCCTGATTTTAGGTGATAAAGATGACTCATTTACGATGTCAAGAACCGTTAGCTCTTGTCAAACCTTTGGCTGCTCTCCACTCACTTTTTATCTCTCTATCTGATGGCAGTCCCAGATTGGTCAAATCCAACTATAAAATATGCAGGATTTTACCGAAAATTCACGTTTTTTAGTCAAATCCTGTAAAATCTTGAATATTTTTTAGTCGGATTTGACATATCTGGGACTGCCATCAGATAGAGCGATAAAAGTTGAGTAGAAAGCAGCCAAAGGTTTGACAGGAGCTGACGGCTCTTGACATTGTAAATGAGTCATCTTTATCATATAAAAACAGGATTTGGTGCATGCCTACCACCCACACCCATATAGTCATATTGTCATGGTGTTTCCTAATTGATGTTGACTGATCTATACATGAAATGAAAACATTTTCTGAAATGCTTAAGATATATGACAAATAGTTTCATATATTTGCTTTCTCAAAAATATTCCATCACAAAGAATCATCTGTACATATGTAATGACAATACATGGCATCTTTTTTGTTTTTATCTAACTGCAGATCCATTCATAGTGAAGAAATCCAGATAATTCAATTGGTAAAATAGCCGATTGATTATCAAAATATTTTCGTTTGATTCCAGTGCTGCTCTAATAAACCTTGTCAAATTATTGTTTATTCTATTCAAAGCAGATCGATATACATGTTAGATGAAAATTTGAGTGTGGATGAGTGTGGATGAAGGAAAGCTCTACACCCACCCCACAAAAAATGGAAGACTGTTCATTATACTTTATACTACGCGCATGATAAATAGAAATAGAATGAAGTCTAGTGCTTAAGCTCACAAAATAAATTCTGGTTTAGTAGTAACTGAAGAGGTCAATCCACATTTCCGTTTCGTTCATTCTGGGAGTAAATGCATATTGTTCAAATGTGTTCTATCATTAGTTTATAATATATGAAATATACAGATACCACCATGTTTACAACGATCAAACAAAACGATTCAATTCATAAAATAGTATATTCTAGTCGTCTTTTTGCTATGATATTACATTTAATGGTGTTCTTGATGATTAATCGATTTTTTCACTTTTGATCGGTTTTTTGCATTTTAATTGATTTTAATCGATTCTTATTGTAATTGTGCAATCTCTGCGTTTGAAGCAATTCATATAGCAGTTCCAACTCCACTATATTTGCCCATTATTTATCTTAGAGGCAACTACGTGGTTTCTAAATACGAGGGAGTGAAAAAAATTTACGAAAAATCGTAGGTTTCGAGTTCAATTCTTGATAAAAGCACTTATCTAAGTTACGAATGATTAAAATCGATTAACAGGTAAAAACCAATTAAAATTGATTAATAGGTAACAATAGATTAAAATTGGTTAATAGGTAACAATAGATTAGATTGCATTGAGATAAATGAGGTCGAAATCATAGAACAAAACAGATGTGTAGATATTAACCGATTATAATCGATTTTTTTTGATTAAGAGTCAATTATAATGGCACTAATATAATCCGATTTCTAATCAAAATAATGATTATAATTAATTTCAAGAAATTTAATCAATTACAATCACTACTTTGATTAAAATTTGGATTGTAATCTGATTATAATCCGATTTTTTCTGATTTTTTTTATATGGGTATTGATGTTTGAAAATCAGACGGATAAAATCATTTCTCTAGTTTCCATCATCGAATTATATTTAACATTAATATTAAATAATCCAATTGATAGATTGATTGAACAGATTCAAATAATTGATTCGAATTCGGTAACAACCTCAGAAGAAAATTCTTTATCGAACTTATCAAACTTCAATTGCATCATATTTATGATGAATCATCTGTGCTTTTCATCATGTTTTGCATCTATATTGATATTTCAGAGAAGTTTATCGTTGGCAAATTTCACAGCATCCAATTCATAGAATCATCTCATAAACCAAAAGTTGAACATTATAACTTAATCGTACGTGCTCTATTCAGATGAATAACTTCCGAATGTAACTAAGGTGTGAGTGTGGGTGTGGGTGTGGGTGTGGGTGTGGGGTGTGGGGGTGGGGTGTAGGGGTGGGGTGTGGGGTGTGGGTGGATGCTGTGGGTGTGGGTGTGCAGATGAAAAGAAGATCCACACCCACACACCTACACATCCACGTGCACCCACACTCACACGCCACACCTCAACCCCCACAGCCACCCACACCAACAGCCACACCCCACACTCACACCCACACACATCCCACATCCATACTCATATCCACACCCACTCACACCCATACCCACAGCCACACCCACCCACACCCCTGCACCCACAGCCACACACCCACACCGTTTCTAGAAACGGAACGCAAAACTGACACCTAGGGGCTGTGAGTGTCAGTGCCAGTGTGGATACAAAAAAACCACGTATTCACAAACATATGACCATATCCACACCCCACACTCAAGCCCGCACACACCAGCTACACACAATACATAGCCACACTCCACACCCAATATTTACCTATATATGCTTGATAAACTATTAAAAATATTACTTACGCTTAAAAAAGCAATCAATGAGGAGTATTTTTCTTTTTAAAAAGGAAGTGATATTTGTAACTATATATGATATAAAAATGCAGTGGTGAAGCAGAAGGCCTTGAAAGAAAATATCATTCATGCTTAGAAAATCGAAGGATCAACGCATTTCACTCAACACGGATAGCCAAAACGAAACTAAGTGTGATGGTATAGAGTCTATTACTTTCATTTCTTTTTCAGAATAAGATAATGAACTCTTATTTCTCTCTGCTGTTTCTGGTGACGCACATGGGATCTGTACTAACCAAAGACCTCCCAGGGTTAGATTATCTTGCCACAGGATTTGACGCGCTGAAAATGATTAATCTGAACGAAGCACCTTCAGCCTCTGACAATCTCAAGTTTCGTCTTTTTAACTTGGATGATGGTCTTGGTAAAACATATTCGTTCGATGCTGGCAGTGTAAAACATAATTACACAACATCTCGTTATGTACAAGCCACAACAATCAACATGAAGACAAAAGTTGCTATTGAAACAATTAGCAAAACGTATCAAGAATTTCGACATAAGTAAGAATTTCATTTACTTGCTTTCTTTTCTAAATCTTGCTACTTCAAACATTTAATTGATAGTTACTTTCAATCATACTCCTTTGATATTGGTATTCCTATACCGTTAGAAGTGGGTACAATTGATATTTCTTTTGGATATCATCGTACTTTATCACAAGCCTATGAAAAAATTACCAAGCAAGAGGGATCGGTTGGAATATCATCAGATTGGTGGGGAATTTACAATGTCCATCTGGGTCCAACATATTTACTAAAGTAGGTTTTTTGAAACTGATTGGTAAAAGAGTGCAACCTCTTTGTTTAGCTTCTATTTCTAAAATATCTGTTTGCTATGTATGTGCA